TCACAGCCTCTCCCTCTGTCTGCCTCCTAAGTGTGGGTGCTCCCCAGACCCCCCTCCCCTTCTCTACTCTCTCTTATATTTCCCAGTGTTTAGGTGTCAGGGCACCTGGAAGTCATAAGAAATACCATAAACTATCAATGTAATTAATCCCACAATTAGAGCTGGGAACAGTTTTATTAGCAGAAACTATGACGATCGTCTGTATGGGCAAAATAAAAAGCCCGGCTGCGGGCACACGTGAGTAGAATCAGCTGTCGAGTGAAGTGCGGTGGGCTGCTGCCATGTTTTTCCTTTAATATTCATTTACAGCTTGTTCATTTGTTTTATCGTGTGCTAGCAGACAAGTGGTAGCAAGCACCAAAGGTCGGAGATGGGTGGATGGGAGCATAACTCGAAACGGAGACCAACCGGTTCATTGACATTTTCCCCCCTTGAAACTGGGAAACGTTGGCAGAGTTAATGCCTCAGTCCACCAGTGGAAGGAACTCTGAAGTGTGGGTTGTTCTGCACACTCCCGGGTGATATCATCCCTCCTCCTTTATTCTATAACCACCACCTCTACACTCGACTCCCCAGCCCAGCCCCCATCTCTCTCCTGAGTGCTCCTCCTGGGTGTTTCCATCTGCAGATCCATCCTGAGACACTCAACAGTCCTCCTGTCCAAAGCTGAGACACTTCTTGGACCTCTTACATTGGGATCTTGGTTCCTGGAACCCTCTCTGCCCATTTGTCTAACTCACAACTGGGAATTCTCTGTCTTAAATATCCTTTGAAGCCAAGCTCATTCTGGGTCCCACCCTTGGTCCTTGTAGCCTAGGCCAGAGCCTCCAGCCCTCCCCAATCTGGTCCACTCACCACCAGGTAATCTCACCAGAGTAATAATCATTTTGAAAGGCCCATCCTTCCATGTCCTAGACCTTCTTAAAGACCATGAATATCTTGAGGCTAATATGTGGCTCCCCCTGTGCCCCCACACCTTTCCTGGGGTGCTGGTCCCTTTGCCAAGCCTCCATTGGAGCAGAGAGGGTAAGAGCGTCTTTGCCATCCTTGGACCTCAGTGCCTGGCATGTGGCAAGCACTCAACAGATGCTTCTTACCCGTCACCCATTCAGTACAGCCTAGACACCCCCATATTTTAGACCCTCCACCATGTGGACCAGACTTACTCTTCTTAATCCCTCAAAGCCTTAATGTCCTCATCTGTAAGACAGTGGTAAAGAAATCACAAATGCTGGGGTGGCTTTATGGTGAACTTAAAGTTCATCCTGATTTGGTAACCTCACTTCTGCACCTGGGAGTTCTGCAACCTTCAGCAAAGCACAGAAGCTTCCTACCCTGTTTTCTTGCTATAAAATGGGGATGAGTAACTCTTAGGGTTCTGGAGAGGCCCACGTGAGGTGACGCATGCGAGGTGCCCTACCAGACAGAGGCCGGTGCAGAGAAAGCTTCGTTACACAGTAGCACTAGCTTATACCCCATCCACCCACTTCCCACTGCTACCACTTCCCAGGGCGTCCTTCCAAGGCTGCTTTATGGATATGCAAATAAATGCAAAAGGTGTCCTTATTTTCTCTATTTTCACCCAAAAGTTTACATGTCCCACACTGGGAGTCAGCAAACTTTTTCCATAAAAGGCCAGATAGTAAATATTTTAGGCTTTGAACAACATGTGGTTTCTGTGATTACCCAGCCCTGCCATCGCTGAGGAAAAGCAGTCTTAGGGGAGTGTGGCTGTGTTCCAATTAGCTTTATTTATGGAAACTTAAGTTTGATTTGCATATCCCTTTCTCATGTCATGAAATATTATTATTATCTGTTTGATTTTTTTCAACCATTTAAAAATGTGAAAAAGCTATTGTTTCACAGTCTGTTCAGAAACAGTGAGAGGGCAGGTCTGGGCTGCTTTTCACCTTTGGGCACATCTCGGGGACCTTTCCTAGAGCTGTAAGGGAGCTGCTTCGTTCCCTTCTGAGGGCGCGCGACTCCATCCTGTGCACGCAGCCTAGTTTGTTTGACCTGTCCCCTACTGCAGGACACTTAAGTTGTTTCTATTCTTTACAAAAGATTTTGCTACTACAGAATAGTGTTGTTATGAATAATCTCGTCCATCCATCATTTTTGACACTTACAAGTGTCTTAGGTCAGATTGCCCTAGAGGTGTGGCTGGGAAATGGATTTGGGTGATTTACTGGGGGAGAGCTAAGGGAGGGAGGGAAGCAGAATGGGAAGGTGGGAAGAGCCAAGAGAGAATTGGTCCTGGGGAAATCAAGCCAAGGCCCGACTGAGGGTGCAGCTTGCAGTTTTCCTACCCTGAGGCAAGGGTGGGGCTTTTGAACTTCTGGTTCAAGCTGTCATTGGCTTTAGTGGTCATGGCAGTGGGAGGAGCCTGTCAGGTGGCTGCCATCAGTCGAGAGCAGGACTCAGAAGAAGCCAATGGAGGGTGCAGCAGCTGCAAAGGGGACCTGGGCCGGGAGCCTGCAGCAACCACCACAGCAGGTTTATCTGCAGGATAGTCTTGGAGGTGGAACTGGAGAGGCAAAGCATAGATGCACCGTGGTGTGGGTAGACATTGCCAAATTGCTGTCCATAAGGGCCGTATGAATTTACAGCCCTACCAACATCTGAGAGTGCCTGTTTCAGCACAATCTCATCAAATTAATATATTATTAAACTTTTGAGTTTTTGCTAATCTGAGTAGTTTTCATTTGCACATCTCGTAGAATGAAAAGATTGAACATATTTTCATATGCTTAAGAAAAAATTGTATTTTTCCCCCCTGTGAACTGTAGACATATTCCTTTGCTGATTTTTCCTTTAGGGCTATTGGTCTTTTTTCTTTCTAAGAGCTCTTTATATATTATGGAACTTGGTCTTTTGTCTATGACATGAGTTGCACATATTTTTCTCATTTTGTCATTTGTCTTTTTACTTTGTTTAAGGTAGTTTTGGCCAAGCAGAGAGTTTTTATCATAGGGTTGTTTGGACGAGTAGATGATACATTATGTAAAACACATAGCAGGAGGCCTACTACCTGATAGGCACTGAACGAATGTTATCTCCCTTCCCTCTCCTCTCCTCAATTCTGTGCTTTCTCTAACAGTGCTCATAATTCTTCCTTAAATATGGTCCATGCTTCCCACCTCCATGCATTTCCTTATGTTATTTTTCTTGTCTGGAATGTCTTTCTCCTCATTTTAGACTAAAAATCCTATCCATCTCTTAAATGGGTAGCTCAGATGTCATAGTCTTTCTTACATCTGAATTCTTGTACCTCTATTAGTTGTCATAGTCCACCTTGGATCCTGGTTATCTGCACACATTTACTGTGCTTTTCCTGAGCCTCGGTTTTCTTATCTATAAAATGGAGTTGCTGGGGGAAATAGACATTTCTTTTTATTACAAAATGATGCGTGTTTACTATTAAAAAAACTTTACTAAAAAAATTCCACAAATATAAGAACACATAAAGTTTAAAACAGTAGTTACACATACACAGGCACTCTCATTCCCCAGGGCAGCCTCTGTTTACAGATCCTTCCAGACCTTTCCTGTGCCTGTATAAATATTTTTAGGGGGAGAGAAAGAGAAGTTTTTCTTAAAACACAAAACTGGAAGCATACTACCCATATTGGCCTGCAACTTACTTTTTTTCATTCAATAAAATAACGTGAATAACATGATATATTTAAAGCACCCGGTTCAGTGCTCAGTGAATGGCAGCTATAACTGTCCTAGCCACCTTGCAGTGATGTTTCTAAAGGTTCTGTTGGCAGCAGAATATTTATCAAACACAATAGTATATGGAAGCCCATTTATAAATGAGATGGGGTGGAGCTCCCACGTGAGGGTGAAGGTGGGTGGGGTGAGGGTGGGGTGGAAGGCATGGAGCCCCTTACTGATTTGTTTTCCCATCCCTGTTTGAAAACCTGAGTGTATTGGGCAAGGTGCAGGCACATAACTTTTAACTGAGTGGCAACGTTATGGGAATGTACTGTCCAGGCAAGCTGGTGGCTCCCCTGATGATCTTCAGCTGGCCCTTAAGGGATTTGAACTCAGGAATCTTGGGGCCATTAGCATTGAGTTCCAATGAGAGAAACAAGTGACAGCAGGTCAAGTGAAAAATCAGAATTTGAACTGTATCTACAGGCGATGACAATAGTTTAAGAATATATACTTGAGCAAAGGTTGAAAGGAAATATGCAAAATTATTTGCTCTGTTGGGGTGGGGGTGATGAATTCATTTTTTCTACTTGAATATTTTTGTTATATTATCTTTGCAATAAAATTAATGAAAGGGATATGCTAGGCTCTGCCCCTGAATCATTCTGTGAACACGTATATGTTGGGCACCTATGCCACAGGTAATGTGCTTGAAGGGTTGCATTAAGAAGTGGCAGAGGGCCCTGGCTGGGTGACTCAGTTGGTTGGAGGTTCAATTCCCCATCAAGGCACATACCTAGGTTGCTGATCTGATCCCCAGTCGGGGTATGTATGGGAGGCAACTGATCGATGATTCTCTCTTGCATCAACCTCTCCCTCTCTCTCTCTCTCTTTCTCTCTCTCTCTAACTCAATATAACCTATCCTCAGGTGAGGATTAAAAAAAAAGGAAGTGGTGGGGTAGGCACAGGACTTGGTTTGGGGGCAGGGGCTCGTCCATAAGTGTCTCAAAAACTCAGAATATTAGAGCTACATGGGACCAGTCTAACACCTTCATTTTGCAGTCCAGGGGCCTGAGGCCCAGAGAGGCTAAGTGACTTGCCCAGAATACCCAACCAAAGCCTGGCTGTTCCACATAGAGGTAGGCACTCCCACTGAACTAGCTGGCTGGCCTTAGCTCAGGCCCCTACTTCAGGGCACCTTCATTTTCTTGGAATTGGCAAGAAGGCAGCCAAGTACAGAGCACTTTTCCGGTGCAGGTGGGGGTGGGCATCCTGAGCAGGGTTTGCACAGAGCCACTGCTCTTCAATGCAAACCCCTGTGCCACCGTTGTCTCCACAGGTCCCTGAGTGAGCTCAGCCAGACCCGCCCCTCCCAGCAGCGCATGGGGTTGTCCCGGACCGTCCGACTTTACCCGGCCACCACGGCCAATGGCCAGCTGACTTCCAATGCCCTGCCTGTGGGGCCAGGCCTTGCGCGGAGGGATGGCACCCAGCAGGCAGCATATCTGGACCACCTGTCATCCCCCTGGGGTAAGGATGCCCTGTCTTGGGGACCTAGAAGAACAGGGCATCTCAATCTCTGGTTTTCTTCCCCCACCTTGCTTCTCTCCTCCACTCTCACTGAAGGGTTAAGTGGTTACCTGTCCCTCATCCTCTCAGCCAGTCAACAAACAATTGTGCAGTGCCTGCTTTGTGCCAGGCTCCAGGGGTCCCAAACCAGCGGTCAGGACTTTGCCCCTTTGAGACCCTTAGATTTTGATTGCTCCATTTCTGCCCCATCTGTCACCCGTCCTGCCTTCAATTCCTTCATGTCCAGCTATGAACCTCATCTCCCTGGCCCTAGTCCTTCCAACTCATCCTTCCTGCAAACCCCACCTCCTGAACCAAACCAACCAGTTGCTTCCTTAGCACCTAATGGCTGGGCCTCCACTTCCCAGAGGAGAGAACCGGGGATCCCTGTGGATTCACACCTCCGCACATGCTTAATGGTCTCCCAACAGTCCTTCCCTATGTGCCTGGACACTCCATCCCATTCCTCAGAGCAGCTACTCCAACTGCTCCCACTTTCCCAGGTCCCATCCCTTCGGCACATGGACATGCCACCCACCTCCCAGAAAGCTCCTCCCTTCCTGCCCATCCGCCCCATCATGAGCACACTGCCCCCTTATCTCAACCCATGCCCAAGCTGATTTCCTTTCTTTTTCTTCCATTTTAAAAATTGAGGTGAAATTCACATAACATATTAAATTTTAAAGTGTACACGTTAGTGGTTTTTAGTATGTTCACAATTTGACACAATCCCATTTAATTATTCCAGAACATTGTCATCACTCCAAAAAAAAAAAACCCACCAAAAAACCCTCAGTCATTAAGCAGTCACATTAAGCAGTCACTTGGCCCCACTGATCTACTTTCTGTCTCTATAGATTTGCACGTCCTGGACTTTTCATATAAATGGGATCACACAATATGTGGCCTTTCGTGTCTGGCTCTTTCAGTTGGTATAATGTTTTCGAGGTTTATCCATGTGGTAGCATATGGTTGATGCCTTCCTTTCTTGTCATCTTGAAAAGGCGATGTCCCGCTTCTTGTCTAAGGCACACACACCTCCTTTCTCAATTACTCTGGAGAGGTAGGCCATCACAGGTCCTCCTCGCACCTCCTCTTCCATCCCCCTTCAACCTGTCCCTCTCTCACCCCTTTCCTGGCAGCATATACACTTGCTTACAGCTCACTCTCTCTCACATTCACTCTCTCTCTCTCTCTTACACACACACACACACACACACACACAGAGTTATTTCTCCACTTTTCTTTGGTTTCCTCTCCCTCTTCTCCCATCAGTCAAGCCTCTTGAACGGGTGGCCACATAGACTTTTCACTTTCCCTCCTCAACCCCTCTGCCTTCCGGCTTCCTTCTCTGGGCTCCCCACACCAAATGAACACCCCTCCTTTGAATTTCCACTGCTACCACCCTTCAGTGAAACAACTTTAACTCACACTGCTCGTGACTTCCTCACTGGCCACCCTGCGTTCCCTCCACTTGCACACCAGGCTGGGAGGGCATTTGTCCCCCCACGTTTCCTCTTTGATCTCTTACTGGAATTTTTGAGTGACTTCCCACTATCAGCCAAATAAAGTGCCAATCCTTGTTCTGGAAACCAGTCTCCCAGCCCCCAACCTGTCTCTTATCTTTCAGGCTTTACATTCCTCCATTTTTCTTAGAAAATTCTCCACTCCGGCAGGTCTGAGCTACATTCTATTCTCTGCCCTTTGGATCAAAGCCCAGCGGCACCACTTGCAACCCAACCTTCTCTGAGCCTGTTTCCTTACCTGTGAAATGGAAATATTAGGTTGGATGTAGGAACTTCGCCAATATACAACCATTCTAACCTAGAAAAATGGCATCTTCTAATGGTTCAACCTAAAATGATACTCACTCAAGAGGGCTGAGAGTTAATGTGCATAAAGCATGAATTTATTGGCTGCACACTGACGTCCCTCAATAAATGCTGGTGGGTACTTAGCAAATGCCCTTGGGATGGATTCACCCCTGGTCCCATGGGCCTTTCTAAGCAGCCTCTGGAGGTCACAGCTGTGCCTCTCAGCCCTGCCCCCTGGACCCAAGCCCTCTCTCTGCAGGGCTGAACCTCACGGAGAAAATCAAGAAGATCAAGATTGTCTTCACTCCTACCATCTGCAAGCAGACCTGTGCCTACGGGCACTGTGCCAACAGCTGTGAGCGTGGCGACACTACCACCCTGTACAGCCAGGGTGGTCACGGGCATGACCCCAAGTCTGGCTTCCGCATCTGTGAGTCCCTTCCGCCCTCAGTTTTCGGCTGGCCTTGTCTCCCAGGTTATTGGGGGGTTGAGGAAAGGCATGAAAGGGCTCTTTAAAAGGGCGAGGGCTGGTTCTTATCTACCCTTCTTCACCCTGGGCCTCTGGAAAGTCCCCACATTTCAGGCAGTGCTGGGCTCTCCCCAAGCCATGTATTTTTGGAGCACTACTGCTCCCCTTGCTTCTGTTGTTACCCACTGGCGACACGGTGGGTGCTATGTTCCTCCACCGTCAGTCACCTTGAGGTTGATGTTGTAGATTTCTGCCAGATCCCCTGCCTGAATGGAGGCCGCTGCATCGGCAGGGATGAGTGCTGGTGCCCCACCAACTCCACCGGGAAGTTCTGTCACTTGCCCGCCCCAAAGCTGGACAGGGAGCTTGCAGAGAGGGGCTCCCACCACAGGGCCCCAATGGAGGGCCCCTTGAGGCAGTCCACCTTCACACTGCCGCTCTCCAACCAGCTGGGTGAGTACAGGGCTGGGGATGTGGGGATGTGGGGACGTGGGGCTGAGGGTGCACTGGGTGACCCAGTGGGGGGTGCCGCCATTGTGGTGGGGAGGACAGCAAGCTGTCTCCAGGCCTTTCTTCACAGTCAAGCCTCCCTCCTTCTCCTCTGCCCTCAGCACTAAGTTTTATTCCCTAAACTTCTCTTTGCCCTCCCATCTGAATTAGCGATATGTTTGTCCTTACCCCATACTGGGCGCTATGCATGAGACAAAAGAGTATTAAGGACAGGGTCCTGCCTTCAAGGCACCCACGGACCTGGACAATAGAGGGAGAGTGAATGGAAAGAGAATAGCATTATAAAACCCTTCATTTCCCCTGCCTTCCATTATTAGGTGCCAAATTAAAGGTACAAAAAATATAGGAGGTCAGGGTGGGGATGGAGATCCCCCTAAGCCCAGGGTGTTCAGGGAAGGCTGCTTGGAGGAGGGGGACTTTGGTTAGGTCTTAAACAATGGGCAGCCTTTGGTTCTGCAGAGAGGAGTGGGAGAGGCTCCGCTGCGGAGGGACTAGCATGAGTGAAGCCATGGAGGTGGAACCACGTGGGCTCGGCTGCACGCTGGAGCTCAGGATTGTGCAGGATCGTGGGGAAGGTGGAATCAGGAGGGTAGTTTAGAAGTTGATAATGAAGGTCCTTCATTGAGAGGCAAGGAGTGAAGGAGTCTGTGCTTCATCCTGTCCTTACTGGGGAATTGTGCTGGGGTTTGAGTAGAAAGTGAAGAAGTGAGGGAGAATTGGGGGGCAACACATGGCCAGTGGCTTGCCTGGCCCAGGGCTGGGGGGGCACTTTCAGAGGGGGGGCATTTCCCTGACTGATCCCAGCCCCTGTGCCCAGCCTCTGTGAACCCCTCCTTGGTGAAGGTGCACATTCACCACCCGCCCGAGGCCTCCGTGCAGGTCCACCAGGTGGCTCGGGTGCGGGGCGAGGCCGAGGAAACCCCAGAGGAGAACAGCGTGGAGACCAGACCCTCGCCCCGGCTCCCTGCCAGCCCCGGCCACAGCCACTGGGACAGCAACAGCATCCCCACTCGGTCTGGAGAGGCCCCTCGGCTACTGCCCCCAGCGGCACCCAGGCCTCAGGGGCTGCTGGGTCGGTGCTACCTGAGCGGTGTGAATGGCCAGGTGAGAAAGTAGCTCCTATCTCAGCCCTGGAAACTTCCAGAACAGTGATACCTCCCCACTCTGCCCCCTCCTCTCTCTCTTCCTTGTTCTTATGGAATGTGAGTGTCAGCAGAGTCTCCCATCCCCCAGATGAGAAAACTCAGGGCATAAAATTGCCTGCATGCAGACAGGCTGGGCCTCCTACCTGGGCTCCGCTAGGTACCTATCAGTGCAAGCAGAACGGGGCCCAAGAGATTCCCCCTCTGGAGGGTCCCCTGTATCCCTGCGCCCCAGTAAATCCTGGGCTCTCTCCGAGCTGAGTCTAGGATGTCCTGGTGCATGGACAGTGGGGCTATTAAATCTGGCAAGAAAGAGTTTGGCATTCAGTTGAGATTGGAGTCACAGAGATGTGGAATTAGCAAATGCAGGTTAAACCCCAGAGCCTTGGGGGTGCACTGATTAGAGACACTCCATCCCCCTCTGGAAGCAACAGTCAGTGATGAAAAATCAGGTGAGCTTTTCTGAGTCCAGGCACCTAAGAATGGGGGCTAAGCCAGACTCAGGATGATTTTTCTAGGGGTTGCAGTTGGTTGTTCCCAGAAATTGCTCTTGAGGTTAGGAAACTGGAGGAGGTGAAAGTAGCCAGGGGATAGAGACCCTGAATTCCCAGACCCTCCTTGGCCTGCCAGCTTGTGGTGTCCCTGAGCCTGGGCCATGCCCATGAGGAAGGCTGGCACTGTGGGTGACCCTGGAGCTTAACAGAGGAAAAGCACATCCTTTGGGATCCTCTATCTATGGGCTGTGACATGGAAGGAGGCAGTTTGCAGACCTGCACAGAGATCTTATCTTGCCTGGGGAATGTCCCCACCCCTCAAATTTAGGGTCTGGTTGAGTGGACTATAGGTTTCTTTGCTTTCTTCTGGGACATCAGCTGATTCTTTCCTACCCTCCATTGGGTGTGGGTATCCTTTGGCGAGGTGTGGGGGGAAGGGAGCCCTTGTCTCAGGCTTTTCTGGGACATCTCTGTGCACAGCAGGGGAGAGAAGAAGTGGTGACACATGTCCATGGCCTTTTTTCCAGTGTGCCAACCCCCTGCTGGAGCTCACTACCCAAGAGGACTGCTGTGGGAGTGTGGGGGCCTTCTGGGGGGTGACCTTGTGTGCCCCATGCCCGCCCAGACCAGGTGAGTGCTAGGTGCCAGGATCCAGGGTTGTATGGCAAGCTATCCTGGGGCATCACCTCTGTTTCACCCCTGACCCATCTCCTACCAGGGTCTCAGAGGCCAAGCAGGTAGAACTTGCTGATAAACTGGGCAGCTTTTCCAGATCTGCTTCGAGGGTGCCTCTGGCTGGTGGTTGAGGCTCCTGATGGCTCAGACCCTCTTTCAGGGCACCCTGGCCTACCTGCTCCATCTGATGCCTGAAGAGGTTCCATCTTGCCAGTATTCCTGCTCAGATTTTAGGGATCCCATCCCATACTGGGCCCTCTTCTACCCCTGTACCCCCTTCCATATGGCCCCTGCAGACTTGGTGATTTAGTATTTCCCTCATTCTCTCCCTGGAGTGGCTCCAGACCTCCTCCTTGCCTCCTGTTTTCTGCCTCCAGTCTTTGAATCAGGATTAGGTGTCTGTCCCAGAATGTCTTCAGCCTTGGGTATGGGAAATGCAGTTCCCTGCCCTCTTTTGGATAGTGGGAAAACCTAACATGTATTTATTCATTTATTCATTCATTCACTCACTCAGCAAATACTTGCCAGGTGCCTCGTGCATGCCAAGCACTGAGAATTCAGGGGTGAGCAAAACACTGCTCTCATAGGCATTGATCTTGCAGTCGGGAGGCTGAGACAAGGTGCCTATGCCTTGAGTATGGCTCTGCCCGCCTGGCCTGTCTTCCCTTCCAGGCCTCACTCCTGGGCTCCGTCCTGCCATGTATTTCTTTGGCCTGTCAGCAATCAACTTAGTGAGTTGGCTTGGTGGGGGGCCTGGGCTGGAGCCCAAAGGTGGGAGGGGCAGGGCTGTTCTTAACTTCAGACCAGGCTTTGGAGCAGTGACTGTATTTTCCTAACTAAAAATAAGTGTGGACGGTTTCACAGTGTAATAGAATTTTTGGTGAAGCAGCAAAAGGTTGTTTTAAGCTCCCAGGCTTAAACACCCAGCACATAGCTGGTATCAGTCCCAGCTCTGCCTGCTGACCTCTCTCTTCTCTGCCTCTGATCTAGAAAATGCAGAGGGTAACAGTGCCAGCCTCCTAGGGCTGCTGTGGAGAGTAAATGAGATGATGCATGTGCTTAGTGTCAGGTCCATAAATGGTAGCTGTTAATATTATTATTAGAAAGATCTCTCCAAAAAGGGAAAAGGGAATGGACCCACGGGCCCACTAGGAGTGTGGTCAGACTGCTCAGCATCTCCCCCTGCAGGCCAGAGATTTTTTTGCCGCTTTTCTTTTTTCCCCTTGTTTTTCCTTCCTCCTGGTCCAGCTGACCCTGGAGACTTCCATACCCCACATTCCACTCAGTCAACAGCTACATTGATGAAGCAAGTTTAAAATACCCTTAGTGTGCAGGCCCTGGCCAGAGTGGAGAATTTGGTAGAAATAGTGCTTCTTGTCTCCAAGCCTACAGTCTGGTGGGGAAAAGAGGCACAGACATATAATGGGAATCAGTAAAAGAGAAAGAGTGCAGTGACTAGACAGTGCCAAAAGCAGTGGGAACAGACAGCAGAACCAGGGACACTGATAAGTTCTACAGCACCTTTGTGCAAATTAGAGAAAGGTCCCCCTTCCATTTGTTCAAAACAGCCTTTATAAATATACTATCCAGGATGCCAATGATCCCCTTAATGTGGTGCTTTTGTGCCGTGCACAACCTGCACATCTGTACACTGCAGGTAGGAAATCCTAGCTCCAACTAGTGAATCAGGGAAAGCTTCTTAGAGGAGGTGGCGTGAAGATTTATCAGAGTAAGCCAGTCAAAGAGATGGGGAATTGCTTAAGAAGCCAAGGAAATTACATATGCAGGTGAGATCAAGAGAGTGAACAACATTTCCTGGAGCACAGCACACCCAAGGCTG